CTATACCGATTTAAGCATCTACAAAAGAAATACAAGATTTAGTAATAAGGGGAAAAAAATCTCCATAATTTTACGTACAGAAGGTAAATTTCTGTCGATGAAGAGAATATAAACGTCACGAAAGGATAATATTGATAATATTATCCTGGCTCGGCAGTTCCTTGTTTCTGATAGGTAGATAGGCAGGTAGATAGATGAATAAAATATATAGATATAGATTTTTTGTGTTTTCTCTTTCTATCTTTTCGTCCTTTTATTTTTATCTATGTGTCGGTCAATAAAGCAGATTGGGTGTTTAACCAAATAAATCTTCAATTTATTCCAAAAATAACCCTTGAACAAATTATCAGGGCTATAAAAAGTCAATGACAGTGTTGTCAATAACACAGTCGACATAATGCATATTATCAAGAAGCAAATAAAAAAAAGGAAAATGGTAAAAAACAAATGAAAGTTTTTCCATCAAAATTTACTATGATGATAATATACACACAAAAAAAACACAATAAAAGCAATAATAATAATTACACCATCAACAGAAGAGTTAAAGTTAATAGTTATTTATCCACACAGTGACATACGCTTATCCATACAGACCCACAAACCTTCAAATCATATTAAACCAGACCTATAGACCTGAAAAAAATGAATCCATAGGCCTATCCAATACCCATACACCCCTCCCCCCACCCTACCCCCCACGCCCCACCATCCCCCAACCCACCCTCCACGACGTTCCTCCAGCGTTCACTCGACGTGCCTGACGCCGACATCGACGACACGCACATTAGGGTAGCCCTCGAACATTTCCTCGATGGGTAAGGAATCGCCCATTCTCATTGTACGGTCTAAGGGAAAGCCCATCGGTCTTCTGTCTTGGAAGTTCTCATGAGGCGGCACGCAGAAGGAGTTCCTGGGGACACGGCTGGTGCTGATCTGATGGAGGGAAGGAGAGAGAGGAGTGAAGGAGGGAGTGAGAGAGGGAAAAGGAGGGAGAGGGAAGAGGGTAGAGGAGGGAGAGGGAAGAGGGGGAGGAGGGAGTGAGGGAGGGAGTGAGGGAGGGAAAAGGAGGGAGAGGGAAGAGGGTAGAGGATGGAGAGAGAAGCGGGGGAGGAGGGAGGGAGATGAGGGAGGGAGGAGGGAAAAGGAGGGAGAGGGAAGAGGGTAGAGGAGGGAGAGGGAAGAGGGGGAGGAGGGAGGGAGATGAGGGAGGGAGGAGGGAAAAGGAGGGAGAGGGAAGAGGGTAGAGGAGGGAGAGGGAAGAGGGGGAGGAGGGAGGGAGAGGAGGGAGGGAGGAGGGAAAAGGAGGGAGAGGGAAGAGGGTAGAGGAGGGAGAGAGAAGAGGGAGAGGAGGGAAGGAGGGAGGGAGGAGGGAAAAGGAGGGAGAGGAGTGAGTGAGTGAGTGAGGGAGGGAGGGAAGAGGAAAAAGGAGGGAGAGGGAAGAAGGTAGAGGAGGGAGAGGGAAGAGGGGGAGGAGAGAGGGAGATGAGAGAGGGAGAGGGAAGAAGGTAGAGGAGAGAGAAGAGTGAGGGAGGGAAAAAGAGGGAGAGGGAAGAGGGAGAGGAGGGAGGGAGATGAGAGAGGGAGAGGGAAGAGAGAGAGGAGAAAAGGAAGGAAAAGGAGGGGTAGTGGGAGGAAGATAGTGAAAGAGGAAGCACAGGGAAGGAATAGGAAAGAGGGAGGAGGAGAAAGGAAGGTGGAGAGAGTGGGGGAGGGAGGCAAAGGGTGTAGGGGAGGGAGGGAGAGGGAGTGGGGGAGGAAAGTGGAGCGAGTTGGGGGAGGAGGTGGATGGCATGAGGAAAGGAAGTAGAGGGAATGAGAAAAAAGGAAGGAGGGTAAAAGAAAAAAAAAAATACAACGGAAGGAGGGTGAGAAAATGTACAGAAATATTAAAACATATACAACATTCCCAATCTATCAATATACACCCCCACTCCTACCCTCCCCACCCCCCTAATATCCAAATCAATGCCCCATAACCCTCCCTCCATTCCTGCTCGTCCACCACCCACCCATTCATAAATATCCACACAAAAATAAACTCACCAGGTCACGGTTGGCGTCCGTAAGCATTATGAAGACCTGGAATTTCATACCAGACTTCGTTCCTCTTGGTAACAGCAGGTGAGGAGGCCAACCACAGCCAAAGTAGTCGAAGTAGACTGTCACGGGTCATGTCGGGTCAGGACGATGGCACGGGCGAAGGGGGGGGGTGAAAGGAGTGATGAGAGTTTGCGGTATTAGATGACACAGGATAATGTAAAATACTAAATAGTTATTATATAGATGAAGGTCAATACAGATGTCAATACAGATAAAACTGAAATTAGGATTATATCATTATATAGATAAAAACGCACGCATACAAACACCCTTCCTCTTCACACGATGATATGAATCACATGCACATACCCTACCCTATACAAAGATAAAACACACACACACGCGCGCGCGCACACATACCTTCCACCCACACACAAACACAAATTCACACACACGTACACACAACGTCCTCAACCACACCCCTAACACACACACATACACAGCCTCCTCCCACAGCAACCAACATCCACACACACACCCTCCCCCCCCAAAAAAAAAAAAAAAAAAAAAAAAGACTTACCACTTCCCGGCTGACCTCTCCTGGCAAACCTTTCTCGACCCAAGATACTGCTCTGCCGTGACAATCTTGTGACCGAGTTATCACCGGGGACTGAGGGCAGAAATTAGACGAGGGATGAACACAATCAAAGAAAAGAAATAAACAAAGGAAGGAAATAGGCCGGGAGACGTTGTATTGGATTTTTTTCGAAGACTTTGAATTTGGTATAAATATTATTTTTTTTTTAGTGTGTACGTACATGTGTACATAAATACATACATACATAGAGCTATACACACATTGGAATTATCACTTAAGAGGGGAGGGGGTATGGTAACAATGTATTAAGTAGAGGGTAAATAGTCATAATCATAATGATGAACATTAAAATAAGAATATATAAATGAAGAACAATGACAACAATAACAGTGATGGTAATAATGCTGATATTAATAACAGAATCACAATAACTACAGCAGTGATGATAATGACATCAATAATTACAAAGATGATGATAATGATAGTTATAATAATGACAGTAATAATCAATAATAATGATGATAATAATAATTATAACAATAACAACAATGCTAATAATGAAAATGAGGATAATAATGATAGTAATAATAAAAATAGTAACAATATCAACAACAGTGAAACTAAGAAAAGTAAATTATAACATCAATGATAGCAGCAGTAGCAACCTTCACAACAATAGCCATATTACCAACACCAATCACCACAAAAATAACCACAATCAATTAACCACAAAGTCAGCCACCAGTTAAAAATCATCATTACCAAGGTCGACGCTAAACACATCCATCTCTCCCCAATGGCGACGCTGCTGGGAAAAGGTCATAGGTTGACCCCACTTGTCCTCTTTGGGAGCCATGAAGATGCGCACCACAACTGTTTTCCTCGTTGGTAGTCGGTTGTTGATCTGAGGAAAACGGGATATAGGAAAAAGGGAAATGGGAAAATGGAAAAATAGGAAAAAGGAGAATGGGAAAATGGAAAAAGGGAAATGGGAAAATGGAAAAATAGGGAAAAGGAAAAAGGAAAATGGGAAAATGGAAATGGGAAAATGGAAAAATAGGAAAAAGGAAAAAGGAAAATGGGAAAATGGAAAAAGGGAAATGGGAAAAAGGGAAATGGGAAAATGGAAAAATAGAAAAAAGGAAAATGAAAAATAGAAAAAGGGAAACGGAAAAACATCATTAATGATAATAATAATTATAATGATAATGGTAATAATTACAATAATAGTAATAGAGATAATGATAATAATAACAATATTAAAATGCCATAAAGAAATGAGAACAGATATTAACTACCAGATAAAACGACAATTTCTATATCACAAAAGTCAACTAAACCCCAAACAAACCGCTCTCCCACCTGAAGCAAATACGAGAAAGGTCGATGGTCCAGGTGCCTTATTCTCACAACCACAGGCGTGTAGTCAGCATCACTCTCTTCTTTCTTGAAGTCTATGCCGAAACGCGCATCGTACACGGAGGTTCTGAAGAAGGTGTGCAGGACGTTGGGTTCTGAAGGCGAATCCATCAGGACAGCGTTGACGAGTTGCACGCCAGAGAGGGACAGCTGGGCGAAAGGAGGAAGGGGTGAGGGACGGGCAGAGGAGTGTGGGAATTGGGGAGATTAACGCTCTTTTGATTTTGAGGGATGGATTGCTTTGTGGTATTCTCGATTGTGGGATGTATGGTGCGCCTGGGACTATATGCAATACATTTGATAACGCTTTATTATCTTTATCATTGAGGTTTATTAAGATAATGTATTTCATATGGCATGCAAATGAAATAAAGCTTTAAATGATACATGAGGTATACATGATGCTCCTAGTATTCTATATTCAATGCATTTGCTGCCACTTTTTTATTATCTTCATCGTAGAGAGTCACTGAGGGTTATCACTTAAAATCTCCAACATACCATGCAAATAAGATAACATGTAAATGTAATAACGACTACGAACTTACCTCGAACCTCGAATAGGGCCTCTGGGAGACTTTATACGTTTCAAACAAGTCGTCGATATGCTTGTGCCATCGAAAGAAGATGGGATCCCGGATTGACGTCACAGGTTCCGACATTATACCCAGCGGTTCCTGTAAACTTCAGTCAGTTATCTTCACTTTCACCTAGTTATTAAATGCTGGAAGTCCTGAACGATATGCTTTAGGAATTCAAGGGAAGTTTGAACATGCTGATGTGTTACTGCAATATTTTGTTAATGATACCTGATGGCTATGATATTAATATTATACTGATAAATGGTATTTAAATTTTCGGTAAGAAATATAGTACACCTATGATATCATGGCAACAAATATATGAATCATTCCCACTCTCGCTACTAAGATTATGTATCCTTGAATACTTTCGAGACATTGATCCTATTTGCGTCGGCCTTCACCAAGTGACACATGATACAAAGTTGCAAAATATATGTTGCAATTGCAGATTCATTCGACTAACTAAAAGGAACAGGAGACCCGACGGATTATGATGATTTTTTGTCCTTTAGCTTTTTCATGAGGGATGGCTTTTGCAAAACCTTAAGGGCAAAATGTGTTATATTATTTGGAACTTATATATTCATGTTATCTAGACCTTGATACGTCTCTGTGCCGTCGATGTTTTAGGGACCTTTTTTCTCGTTTATTTGTCCTCTTTTGTGATTTTTAATTGTGTGTCATTTATTTTATATGATATATGTGTGGCTGTGTGCATATGTCTTTAGAGTGTATGGCAGACCTGCTTAGTAGTGCTTTGTGTGAACTTGACTGTTTTATGAGGGACCATTGTGGCGAAATGTGTTATGTGACCTTAACGTTAACCTTTTCTGTGACTTTATGTTCTTTTATGTTCCGCTGACTTTTGTTGCATTATTAAACTTACTGCAACACTGGCCATTTCTATTCCCTTGATCTTTTGTAACATGGTTTATGTGCATTCTATTTTTTAATGTTATCTAAATCTCTATTTTTGAATATCACACGGATCAGTTTTTTTACGGTAAGATGTTTCCCCAAAATGACAAGATTCGGAAAAAAATAAAAAGAAGAAGAGAAAGGAGAACTACACACAGTTTCTCTACTCCTAACTCTTCTTTTTATACTGAACAGAAAACAAATTGTATTCCCTACAGTCAGTATACTTACATGTAATATCCCCGTAGTCAGTAGCCCTACAGTTCCAGTGTTTAGTTACTCTGTTCTTAATACCCCTACATTCAATAGCCCCTATGTTCAGTTACCCTATATTTAGTGTCCCTGTATCCAATAAGCCTATGTTTAATACCCCTGAGTTCAGTTACCTAACGTTCAATATCCCTATATCTAGTAACCCTATGCTTTCTCCATGTTCAGTTACCTTACGGTTAATATACCTTGGTTCAATTCCCCTACGTGTACTATCCCTTTGTTCAGTCACCCTACGCTCAATATCAATGTCTTCGTTATATCTACATTTAATACTCCTGAGTTTAGTTACCCTAAATCTAGTAACCAATAAACCTACATTTAGTATCCCTATGCTCAGTTACCCTATATTCAATATCCCTGTGTTTGATGTTCAACCGTTCAGTTACCTTACGTTCAATAACTCTATGGCCATTTACACATCAATATCCCTATGTTCAGTAACTCTACATCCAATATTCCTATGTTTAGTTACCCTCTGTTCAATACCTTTGATCAGATGTCATACTCTCAATATCCCCATGTTCAATTTCCCCACGCTTAGGATATCTACATTCAGTATCCCTTTTTTTCAGTTACCTTTTGATCAATTACCTTACTCTTAATATCCCTATATTCACTTACCCTATGCTTTATATCTCTCTGTTCAACATCCTTTTGATCAGTTACCCAACTCTCCTATATCCCTACGTTCAGTTACCCCACATTTCAGTAATGCCTCGTTCAATATCCCTACACTAATGATCCCTACGTTTAACAACCCTTCCGGATCATGCGCGGCGCTGATTATGTAATGGCCGAAGTTGTGGTAGTCGCCATAGAACTGGTAGTTGTAGCTCGTGAACCAGTCGGATTCTGTGGCGTCGCCCAGGATGTCGATGCCCAGTCGGCTGCCCATCGGGATGTCTGCGTCGCGCAAAGCGATCTCGACTCCGTCTCGCTGTCGGGAGGACGTGGTGAAAGGGTGGTGTTAGAGGTGGTGGTGAGAGTGATGGTGATGGTGTTAGAGGCGGTGGTGAGTGATGGTGTTAGAGGTGGTGGTGAGAGTGATGGTGATGGTGTTAGAGGTGGTGGTGAGAGTGATGGTGTTAAAGGTGGTGGTGAGAGGGATGGTGGTAAGAAGGTGGTGGTGAGTGATGGTGGTGAGAGGGTGGTGTTCGAGGTGGTAGTGAGTGATGCTAATGGTGTTACAGGTGGTGGTGAGAGTGATGGTGGTAAGAGGGTGGTTGTGAGTGATGGTGGTGATAGAGTGATGTTAAAAGTGGTAGTGAGAGCGATGCTATTGGTGTTAGAGGTGGTACTGAGAGTGATAGTGGTGAAAAGGTGGTGTTAGAGGTGGTGGTGAGTGATGGTGATGGTGTTAGAGGTGGTGGTGAAAGTAATGGTGAACAACTACAATTACAACAACAACTGCCACCACTACTACCCACTCTTATAACAGTTCTCGTCCTAATGGCTTGCAGTAGCCTTGTCCTCCAGGCGTCCATCTTATCCAGGCTGATGTTCAGTTCCCGGTTGACGTTCTGTGGGGGACAGAATTAGGGTGAATAGAGTGATGAGTGTGGGGGTGATAAGGATGGTAGTGGTGGTGATGATGGTGATTGGGGTGATGGTGATGATTTGGATGGTTGTGGTGGTGATAAGGGTGGTTGTGGGGTGATTTGGTGG